GAATACACAGTGTTTTTCAAGGACAAATGTCTTTTTTGCTATTTTTATTTGATGGTGGAGAACTAAAATTCTCAAGCACGCTAAATCTTTTAGAAGTGTTTTACGTTATCATTAATAATAAATTATGACCCTGAAGAATGACAAGTGCTTATGTGGGAAAGGAGATTTTCCTCTTCTTACAAATTTGGAAAGTGAGGCATAGAATTTTGCAGAGTTTTTTTGTTTGGAGCTTATTTTTTGTTACTTTTTCCATCTACGCCTCACTACCAGGCATGTACAAACCTGATATTCTGCAAGTCCATCTTGAATTTTTCTGGCTGGATTAATTTGTCCCTTAAGAACTTGATCTGAGGCTTTCTAGAACAAAAAGAAAATGCTGTTGACTTAAAGTTCAGTCTGGGTAATGTTGTCAAAACAGTTAAATGCATCTGACTCTTTTTTTTTTTTTTTTTATGGGTAATATGCCCATCATAATAGTTAATGTAAAGAACTGTTGGATAGGGTGGGGGTTTTATGAAGGGAAAAAATAGGAAGCTGTTGCCTACGGTGTGAGTGAACAGCTGAGTAGCTGCTGATAGTGTGGGACTGTGCTACTAGTTCTGTGTGTATAGGCTTTTAGCATGCCTTAAGTGGAAGAAGACATACTCTTATTTCAAACAGAGCTGCTTCGTGTGAAAAATACTCTTGTGTGCATGAGAAATGTCATGAGGAAATTACTGCAGAGAGCGAGAGCACTGTAAGTTCACACTGTGCCATATAGCATGCTAGCTTTCCCTTGTAGATAAGACCTTAAAAGGTGACCACAGAATTCATACAACTGTTGTAACTATTAATAAATAAAAAGATATAGCTATATAAAGCATATTTAGACCCCATCCAGTGCTAGTTGTAGCAGCTGAATTCTAACTAACAGTAGTTGATATTGCATCAATTCCTTTCTGTTCTGGTTTCTTTAAGGATGCTTTCTTGATTATATTTTGCAAATCAGCTGCTTGATTCTTAACTACTATAAGACTGTGCTGTAATCAATGTAGTGATTTTTATCTGTTTTAAATGTGCATTCTTCTAGAATTTCACTCAACCTTATAAATAGTCCTATGCATGTTTTCTTTCTCTCAAGAATTGCTATGCCTTTTTGCACTTTTGTGATTATGGGCCTAGACCTGCAAACTAACAAATACTTGGGAGTTTTCTCCTGAAATAACTTTGAAGTTAAAGGATTCATTAATCTAAAAATTTTAGCTATATTTCCTTCTTATAAAATCAAGATAATTAGTACCAGAGATAACATGTACCTGTGGAACTGCTTCTATGAGACTGTTTTAAATTATGTTATTGTGTAGCAGTCTTGTGACTCTATTTTTGTGTGTATGCTAGCATAGCATCATTAATTTTGAGTCTCATATAAATCATGCAGGGATGAAGTAACAGGAAGATTTACTGTTGATGTTATCAGGATCAGGGAAAAGTGGTTGCGTTTGGGGTTTTACGGAGGAACACTCATAAAAAACCTATCTCCAAATTTTATAAAGCACATTTACTTCTTATTTCACACCCTTTCTTTCTAGTATTCTCTTCCTAAGTGTAAATTATGTGAGGATTATCCAAACCTTCTGAATTCTTCTAAATTGGAAAAGTATACATTCTAATAAATGTATACAAACAAATTTGAATATGAAGGAAGGATAGGTGTTAAATAAGACTAGAAAGTTAACATTTCCATGTCTTTAAAAGTCAGTGAGTTCACTCTATAAGGATACTGTGTAAATTCCAGGCCTGAAAAGGGAAAAAATGACTCCTATGAACAGCCATTTGACTGGATGATGATAGTGAGTCTACAGTGCTGGGGAAAATCAAAAGCTTGAAAATGTAGGAAAAACAATGATAACAGGATATTTAAATTACTTTTAAGTAAGTATCATATCAAACCACGATCCCAAGAGTAACCTTTTAGATGCTGTCAGGATGTGTTACGGCAGAGTTGATCAAAGAACCTGCAAGAGAAAGTAATGTGGAGGATCTGGCTTATAATGTTAGTAACAAAGACCTATTCTCTAACAGTGACTAATATATTTATTTTCGGCAACTTCCCAAAATCTGAGCAAGACAAGTATTGTGCTTAACTTTAAAAAAGAGAAGCTACATATAAGTAAGGGTGGTTGTTGAGAAGAAGCTAGAAGGGGCAGCTAAAACCAGTTAAATCTTTGGAGGAGACGTGGAAATTATACTGGAATTGAAGTTTATGTGCACAGAATTTGAGGACTGAAAGAAAGCTAGCATGACTAAATTGTGGGAGTGGGGCAGAAGAAAAAAAAATGAGGTTATTAGAATCAAGGCTACATCTTTCAGAAAAATGGGTAAAATGATCAGCAAGATAAATTAAAACACCAGCAAACAAAAACTCATAATTCTGGCACCTTAAATATAAAAATACAATTAGGCAAGTAAAAAAAGTTTAACTTGCATACAGCAGAAAAACTTACTGAGTCCTTTTAAAGTACAACAGGAACAGAACGTGTACAAGTCCACTAGCTGATTGCTATATAAAAGAAACATTTGGATAGGATGAGGCATACAGCTGGCTTATCCTTGGGAACAAGCAGGTGTGTTCAGTGTGGAGGAACCTGGCAAGTACCTACTAGAAGCCCCTCTGTGGATCTTAGGAAGCACACTTCATCTGCTGGTGAAGTGGCAGATGGAATTCAATGTATGTTAATATTCAAGTGATGTCCACTAGGAAGATAAACCCGATATATACATGATTGATTCTGTTACATTCAGGAATGAGATCTAGGAGCTATGATAGATAATTCCACCAAAATGCTGCCTTGGTGCTTAACAACTAGCAGCAAAGTAAATTGCGTTTTAATAATTATTTAGGAAAGAAAGTAAAAAATTCAGAGACACCATCTTCCGTTTCACTAGTCCAGTACATAAGTCAGTCTTGTATACTGCGTGAAGTTTCTCATACTCTAAAAAGACAAAGTAGAATTGGAAGAGTAAAAAGTTGATCAAAGGTAAGGAACAGTAGCTATACGAGGAATGCCAAGTTTACTTCTGGAAAGTAAACTGCTGTGAGAGGTATGCTAGCTGTCTGTGTGATCTTTGGTGACATGGGGTAAAATAAATAAGTGGGGGAGCATCAAATGAAGCTTAATTTCTGTGTTGAAAACAGTTAAGAGGAGGTGCTTCTTTATGCAACACCTGAAGGAGGCTCTGCTGTTCTTACTACGGAATCTCAAGGATGCTAAAACTTTGTAAGAGGTCAAAATACACTGCAATAATTGATGCAAATTTGATTTTTTTATGTTTTAAATAATAAATTCAAGGGTTTTTCCACAATTTCAAGTTAAAGTATTATTACTTTGCAGTTGGACTCAATAATCTTAAAGGTCTTTTCTACCAAATGATTCTATCATTCTGCTTTATACTAACTACACTATACTGCAGCTGGTTTTCTCCCAAAGAGTCAAATCCACCAGTAGTCACCCTGTGACTGCCTGCAAAACAACTTACATATTTGAGCTCATTTTACCTATCTCAAATATCAGCACTTCAGCTATGACAGTAGAGAGAGGGTTCAGCGCAGACTAAGCTGTTTTACTCAACTTTTCAGGTAGGCTGGATGAACCTTTTATAGTTTTACTACAGTAGAATAGTTCCTACTAGTAAGTTAGCTCAAAGGTCTCAGCCATGTCTGCACTATGCTGAAGCAATGCCTTATACAGAAGTAAAAAGGAGATGGGTCTGGATGTGGTACTAGATTACTTTCTAATCCAGCTATGATTTAAATAATCACTGATTTCACTAATGCTGTTAAACCTCTTGACTGCCATAATTTCCCTTTTGGGTAAATTTTTCCTGTTATTCCCGAGTAGCAACACCATCTGAAGCACTGAGTAATCCAAGTAGCAAATACTTTAATTTTTGATACCTTCTTAGTTACTTTTTTCTGCTATATATATGGATAGCTATAAACTTCATATCTATTTCTCAGGTTAACTTTTGTCTACAAATTAAATTTTAATTGGTGTGCGATTAATATTAAAAGAAAGAATTGTGCTAATGTCATTCAAACTTTTTATGTGCTGGGGAAACATTTTTATAAATGCTCCTATACATGCTATATATATACATATTCTTTGATAGATCATTCTGTTAACCACACTATTTTGCAGTTGTGAAATATTAATAATGCTGATTTGTAATCTTTAGACTTACTGTGTTTTGTAGTATATTCATAAATGAACTGTTCATATTCAAAAAATCATAGAAAATCCTTAGCAAACTTTTCTATTCATTTTCTTTCTGGGTTTTTATGTTGGTTTTCTTTATTAAGAATGACTATCAAATCTCACAGCTAATGCAAATGTCCAGGAATCCTCACTTCACATTTTCATTACGTTGTATTATAGTTAGGTAAAGACTTTATCTGGTAGCAAGAAGTCTAATTTGTTTACAGAAAACACTATCAAAATTCATATTAGCAGCCCACGAGAACAAACAGATTTCAGTAAAGTTAGAGCCATTTAATACTTAAACAACAAAATAGAGAAAAGCAATTTAAACTAGTCTTTGTGTTACACTCCAGTTTTTTTAACTGTGTATTCTACTTCCAACTGTTGTGTTTTTTTCCTTTTCCCTGTAGTTAGCTGCAGGCCAAGATGTAAACAGTGTTGAACCAGAAGATGAGTCTTTGTAGCTCTTTGATCATACCTTAGTCAGTCCCTGTCTTAAGCTGAGAAATTGTACCTCCCATTTGAATCCTGTTCATGACACTGACCTTAGGGTGGAGGGGCTGTATGTCCTCTCAGTGACTGAGCTTTACTGATGAATATTGTCATACAACCTGATTACACTTTTTCAGTGTAAACATGATAAAATTGTCTGGCTAAAATCTAAAAGAAATGAGGGTAGGAAAAGAGGCAACAAACCCAACTTTTGTGTGTTTACTTATTAAGTAGATTAAAGCCTTCATATGCTTTGGTTTTGTTTTGAAGGGTCCATCTTGCTGGGATGATGTGCTGATTCCCAACAGAATAAGAGGTGTTTGCCAGTCCCAAAGGTGTGATGGAAACATAGCGGTAAGATTTTGTCATGTTTTTCCAAGTACTGTGTCACTTACAAGAATAACTGTTTGTAGCAGTTCTAACCATATTAGAATTGCAGAAATGAATGTAAATTGACATGTATGGTACACTTCAAAAGAGCTGTTCAACATCAGATAATGTATCTCTGATCTTAAGGAAAAGGGAGGAACTTGGTCAGTTGCTGCTTGAAATAAAATGATTTCCTCTTTCATGTCGTCATCTTCACTGAAGTAGAACTCTTAGATATTCAAGTATGCATAGTTAAATGCAGAACGTAATACTTAAACATTTATGTCAATGCTTATTTTATAATTATTTGTGTATATATCAGTGCTCTGAAAACTTCAAATTTCTATGTTATCTTGCATATTGGATCTTTCATATCAGATTTTTGGATTTGTCCACAGAAGCAGATTCTTCACGCTGATTACAGTCTGTTCTCCCACATTCTCATCATTAAGTGTTTCTCAAAGTGACATCTATGAAAAGCCTTGAGTGAGAAGCAGCATAGACATCTTAAATTCTTAATGAAGATTTTCTCAAAATATTATTCATGTATGCTTACATCTTTTCATGCATTAGATATTGTTCAATAGTATGCAATACTAAAGAGGTCTTATAGGTACTTCCTTCTCAGGAAAAAGCTTAATTCGAGGTGTTCCTTCTGGACACAGCTTTTAAAGACAAATATAAAACTTTGTACATATGAAAGGATTCTATTTGTCAAAGATTTGTGGATTGGGACAATATTAGTGTCTTTTTTCAGAGGCACTCACCTGCTCTGGTGCAGTCTTTTCTTTGTCTTCCCCTAACAAGACAATTCTGAAGTGGCGTGTCCATGTAGTTCCATAGGTGTGTCCTCCTTGGCCACAGATGGTGTCAGGAAATATTTTTATCTAACTTTAGACACCAAATACTTTTTCTTTTAACAGCATGGGACTTATGGCTGTCTCCATGCACAGCCAGCAGAAACTGAGCTCTTGTAGCTTTTGGGCTTCTGCTTCTCAGCATGCTCCTTGTAGTAGTGGCTGAAGCACTCTCTTGAAAGTGTCAGGTGTTAGACGTGTCCTAGTCTCTCAGCAGTACTGAGCTGTTAGGTGTGTTGGGGGTGGGGAGAAGCACTGTTTTGCCTCTGGGCAGATTGGCTGTAGTCTGCCTGTTATGCTACAGGAGCTACTCTAGTTGTAAGACGGTTGACTGCCTGACTTCACCTACTGTCGCTGGGGAGAAGCCCTTACCATTTTCCCTCCTTTCTTTAAAGATGATGCAGGAAAATAGAAGATAAAGCTTGCTGTTGGCAAGGACAGGAGTCTCCTTGGCAGATATCCAGCTTTGAACCCCTGTAGACAAAAACATGTGATTAAGATTCTCAGTCTTGTCAGCTATTGGGATTCCCAGAACATATCTGACTGATCTGCAGCTACCAACTTACAGCTTTTGTTATCCAATCTGTCTGTGAAAAAGGTGCTGAAATAACACCGCTTTTGGCAATCCTGCCTCCTGAGCTACAAACCATTCCCTCATTGAATCTTTTTTTTTAAAGCAGAAAATGGAGGAATATAACATCCTGGGTTTGTGGAGGAAAAAAAGCACTAACCATAAAACTTAAATCTTAACTGGCTAATGCTGTGGCAAACAACCAATACCTAGTCAGCTAAGTTCCGTGACTCCAGTCACTGCCAGTGCCTCTGGCAACTTTCATACTTAGTAGAGCCGAGGATCAATGTTATCTTTCAGTAAGGCATCACTGAACAGAAATCAGGAGATGTCCTATTTTAGGCAGATGTGTTGCAAATGCAGCTTCAGACCACCTGAACTTCAGGTATGAGGCTGTTATCCGAGAAATGTGTTGTTCCTCTATTTCTAAACTGAAGCATTTTCCCTTTCTACCAGTTACAAACCACTGTATCCAATGGTGTTAGTACCTAACCAGACTGGGATGCAAGAACAAGCCTCCTTTTTGTGATCTTGAACAAGAATTGCCAGCAATGTTGATCTAGTCAAGAAAAAATAAGTCACTAAAAAATTAGTCAGATTTACCTATCTACCTATGTGGTAGGTAGCCCTGCACCAGATCTTTAAACCAGTGAATTGTTGAGGTCCTCTAGTCCCTGAAAGGCATCCTTCCTGTGTTTTGGGGTGGGTTTTTCAGTCTCAATCACTGTGAAAACACATCTTTGCTTCCTGAGGAGTCTTCTAGTCTAAAGGCTTAAATCACTGAACCTTTTGTTTTGTGTCTTGCCTCGAGTCAGAAATAAGAGATCCTACAGATGTGCCTCCAGGGATTTGCCACTCTTTCCTGCTCTGGTAAAACAGTCCAGCTATCTGTACTTTGCCTATTCCCAGAACTCTTCCTACTCGAAGTCATCCATTTGTTCCCAAATCCCATATGTAGCATGGACATAAAACCTCTTGCTGGCTCCTGAGGCCTTCTGCAGCCAGATGGCTAAACCCCACCAGAAAAGCAAAGGAAGACAGTAGCTAACTCACCTGGCTAGACCACTTGCATCTCTTTGCCAGTGTCTTCTCTGTACTATCATCAGGAGGAAGAACTAACTGTCTGCAAAGGGAGTTCCTTTCCATTACATGTGACATCTCCCCTTTTTTTTAGACCAAACATCTTCAGCAGAGGTTTTTGGCTTTTTAAATCAATTATGAACTTCATGCCTGTGTAACTTTCATGAACGTAGTGTATGTCCTTGAAAAAGAGGAAAAAATAACCTTAAGTAATTCACAAGTTGAAACCTCTAAGCTTTTCTTGGCTGTTACAGTCTTTGGGAGATTAAGTCACATTTTGTGATTAAATATTCATTCTTGCATTGTCATGACAAAGTTTGTGCAATGATATTTTGTTGGTCTTAAATAGCTATACAGTGTACATGCTTCTTTACAGTGATGGATAACAAAGCAGCTTTGAGACTGTTAGTTGTCAGTTATCAACAAACTGCAAATACTGCTGTTTAAGAAAAGATTCCTACATTATTTCTCCCCCAAGACATAAATGCTTTGCTTAAATGTTGTTTTTCATTGGTTTCCGTTTCTGCAACGTATCTTCAAGAGGCAATGTGTTTTTTCCTGAAATAATAATTTGTATGTATTTTGATATAAAATTAGTCTCTTGCCAGAAATTACAGGCTTTAATTCCTTTGGTTATATGAACATAGAGTAATTGACAACATTAGAAAGCAATAGAAATCAAATTTCAATTTAGTTAAATAAAACTTATAAATGACTGTCAAAAGATAATTAATATCTTAATGATAAATGCACTGTGATTCAATATATGAAATCTATCTGATTAATTTTCGTGGGCTTGCTCAACATAAACTAAATCGAATTTAAATTTTCATATGATCTGTTGTAAGTGCTTTCTCTTTTTTCACTCCAAGCTCAAAACTAGTTGGAATCACAAAGTACTTTGTGATTTGTTATGGTCCATAATTATAAGCAAAAGAAATGCAAGAGAAATAAGCATATAAGGTAAATATTGCAATTGTAACATCTTAAAATATGAATGATTGCTGACTGAGAAATTGAAAAACCTGGAACATTGGGTATCAGTCCCCTGTGCTTCCTGGAGGAACTTCCCCACAGTTTCTCTTCATGTTCATTTCAATTACAGTCCGTTACCCCATAGCCTGGGGTAATAGGCTCCTGAAGTTGTGTGCTCTATCCAGAAATACAGAAGCTTACAAACATGAGTGAAAAGGGGGCCTAAACAGAAAATATGTATTTTGAAAAGGTAATAGGCACTGTTTCTTTCAGAGATTTAGTGTTAGACTACTTTATGAAACAAAATGAATTGTTTTGAGAAATAGTGAACAGAGTATCCAAAGCAGAGCTCAGTGGTTTTCTTCACGTTAATTACAGTCTGTCAGAAGTAATACATTCACTCTGAACTTCTGCAGCTCCAAAAGGGTGAAGCTGCTGTGGACACTTGTGTTACTGCAATTGTAGAACACTAATAATTTTTATAAAAAACTTCAGTTATATTAATTAGAAAATGGAAAAGTTGACATTAACTGATTGACATACTTTAAATGACCATTTACTAAATAAGACAGAACCTTGCACTTTTGGTGGCTGTCTCAAAATACTTTCAGCCGTAAGCACTTGTATGTAGCTGTGCAGGTAGGCACTTATTCTAGAGAAATGATTGAATGTGCCAGCAATGCTCCAGGGTCTTGGTGTTCAGATGTATTTGCTTTTCTTTCAGAGTTCTTGTAATTCTTTGTATTCTTTGAAAAGGGCAACCCAAAGGCTATGGAAACAGTCATGGTTCTCTGAAATTGTGGATAGTGCTCTCAACATAAGCATAACTTAGTTACAGCTTGAATAGCTTGAACTGATTTTTTTTTTTTTTTTGGTCACTTAGCTAGATAATCAATTGTTGCTCTGTTCAATGCAAAGCAGCACCATAGTTCAAGTTTCACAGACCCATTGAAAAAGTGCATGAAGGCTTTACTGATAGGTGAGAATTGAGGTTAATTAGTGATTTATGAGCTGCTCTTTATATCATAAAGAAATCTCATCTGTATCTCTAAGGTGCTACTTGTGTTGTGCCTAGATGTTATCGGAAAGCTTGCTGTAAAGAGAGGGAGATGTAAATCTTGTTCTATAGCTGAAAAGCCATTTTTTCCTTTCTACAGGAGTGTACTTCTAGTTTCAATGTCATAAAATGATGAACTGAAGTATTGGTTTCTCATTATTGGCCTATTTTTAAATTATTATTTTTATTTGTTTATTTTCAAAGAAAAAGATTAGAGGAAACTTTTAGCTCTCCATTTTTGCCAGCCAGTCTATTCTTAGACATTCCCAAATGGCTGTATAACCAAAGAACAAAGATTACTGCCGTGTCTTGTGAACAAGCTCCTATTCTCCTTCTTTAAAGAGACAGAAGCGAATTTGTTCTTTTTACAAATCAGTTTTTCCTATTTAGTGCAAAGGTGATACAGTGGTGTATTTGAAGTAATGCTTCCATGTTTTCCAGTATT